TCTTTACGAAATTTAGAATAGTAGAACCTGTAAAGATCAAGGCTTTTTACATGTAAGGTTTAGAACATGCATCCCTTTGGGAAAATTGAATTGTTTGTCATGCATAAATTTAGGAAAATATTCTTGTGCTAATCCGAATAACTTCTACAAAAGGCGGGCACACAAAATGTGTAAGGTTAGCTCTGTGGTTGATGAACATCAAGCTTTATATCTTTCCTATAGAATAGGAGAGTGGTAGATGGGGATTATTTTGAGATTTAACATGATTTTCTTCTATCTTCAAAGATGCAGTTTTGCCCTTAGCCAAAATGGACATCATCTCTCATTCTTGTCAATGGGACTGAAGCCACAGGCTGCCCTCAGCCAAGATGGCCACCATTTCCCTACAGTGTTAGCTGATAAAAGTGAGGATTCCCTTAGTAAAGGTGGCCACCACGTCCCATTGTTTCCAATGAAGCAAAAGCCAGCCTGCCATTCAGAAAGAGTGTGGCCCTTTAGTCACTATATAGGTGATTCAGGTGTACGAAAGGGGAATGTTCAAATGCAGGACATGAAACTGAGGTGGGGATCTGGAAGATGAGGGACAGCAGGGGTGGAGGATGTGGAGGGTATAAGGAATGTGAGTAGAGATAGTGATAGGGAATGTAGAGGGATCAGGAATGGAGACTGGGGAATAAAGAGGGACAGGGGGGATGTGGTGGGGTGGTAAAGAGTCTGTTGGATGCAAGAAAATGAAGCCTTGTTTGAACCCAGTTTATTGAAATGATACTCGACGTGCCTGGCAGCTAGACCATGTTTAGCACTTGATCAGGTACTTTTAGACATAAAGAGACCAAGAGAGCACGTTTGGAAAATGTGGAAGAATAAGAGATTGTGAAGGGAAGGAGTTGGTGGGTGGAGAAGGAGGCAGGAGGGTGACAGAGCCAGAATTTTGAGAGCAATAGAATGGCATGTCTCCTGCCATAGAAGTTAGAAGAGAGTAACTCCTGACCCTCTGAGTAGTATTGTGGGGCAGGAGGGCATATTTGTGTATACACTTAAGGTTGAATTTTCAACCAGAAAGGAAATATAGATATTGGCAGTGGGAACTTCCCCTAAAAAGTCCAGAGACAGGAGTGGAAAAAAGTCCCCCACTTCAGTGTATAATTTTTTACAATCTCTCATTTTTGGCTTTGACTCATAAGTTTTGAACTCTTACAACTGGCAGTATTGGGCTAGCCAAGATGCGCTGTGTCGGTGGCCAAGAGGAAATTATGAGTTCTATTCTCAGTTCTTCCACTGATTGGTGTTACTTCTGTGCGCTTCATGGTTCTTGTTATTGGGCAAGGCCTCCTGGCGCTTACTTTAAGAAGCAGGTAAGTATTATCCACCCACTTAGTGGCACTGCTTTGCTGAAGTAGTTCTGGGTACTTGGCTTAGCTATTTGTAACCACTGGACAGCATTCCCCTCCTAAGCCAGTAATACAATCTAATATATTTCTCCTGTCTAACAAATATTTTTGCAAAACAATAGTAAAATGTGTCACATAGTGACTGGTTTATACTGAAGATAACAGCATATTGCTGCTATTGGTTATTCCTTTAGTTCAATTGGTAAAGGTCTGTGCTGTGGACCGATGCGAGGGTCATTATGGTTCTACAGGATGCAATTTGAGTTTTGTTTAAAAAAAAAACACTAGGAAAACATTACATGCAAAATACTACAATCTCTTAAAAGAATGTTAAAGTTGCAAAGTCCAATATTCAAACATAAAAGAGGCCAAAATTAAGGTGACTAGGACAACCATAAATTTGCCTGCTGTTCCATATTCATGAAGGCACAACCTTTAGTTATATGATCACAGACTATTTTTCCAACAGAACCCCTGCCTTATTCAATATACAAGATCGATGGAGTTGTGAGAATGAACCAGGATTGTGTAGTGAATAAGGCTAGAGGACCCCGTCTCATTTACTTTGGAAGTTGGCATGTGGGAAGAGAATGAATCAAAGGGCTGTAAGAAGAGAAAGGATAGTCTTGTAATTAAGGTAGTTGATTGCCATTCAAGAGAACTTCTTTTGGTCCCTAGATCTGCAGCAGAATTCCCTTATGATGCTATACGGGCAAGTTGTCTAAAGCAGAATCACAATTGCAACCAAAGTTAATGGGAGCTGTGGAGGTTCAGCACCTCAGGCAGTGTGGTCTGAAGGAATGAGCACAAGCTTGGAATCAGAGCTCATCCTGAGTTCTTATCCTGGCTTTGTCACATATTTACTTGGTGGCATTAGATAAAATACTCTGTTTTAGTTTTCCCATCTGTAAAATGGGAATATTAATACTCTCCTATCTCTCAGGCAAGTTGTGAAAGTAAATTAATTAATGTTTGATGCACTCAAGTATTTCTGAACATAAGCTGTTCTGGAGCTATGATGAGACAGAAAAGTTAGGGGGATCCTCATTTTTTTACTGGCATACAAAGTTTTTAAACATTGTAATTTTACAACTCACTTTAATTATTTTCTTAATTTAAAAATAATCCCTGTTCTGGGGATGAGAGGTACCATGTAAAATTTTGGTGTGATTTGTTTCTTTTGGGGGGAATTTGGTGTGTGCATGCATGTGTGAGTTAGAAATCAGGATTTTATTATGGGAAACTGACTTAAGCCCTGACTTTACAGCAGCTACTAATACTGTAGAATGTATGACATGCAGTTCAGTGGTTCTCACATAGATACCACATTTTGCATTGAGAACCAAATTGAGATAATCTGGATAAAAATGAAGTAATATTAGAGACCTGCCCCTATTTTATGCCCCTAAACTTTTGACCATGTCTTATCTTCTTCCTGCATGGATGCAAACATCCTTAGTAGAAACAAAATTTATTTATTTATTCATTTATTTATGGGTAGTTCCATATCTAAAATTTTAACATGAAACAGTCTTGTATTGTTCCAGTGGTCACTGAATTTAATAAACAAGAAAGAGAGATAATGGGTGAAATTCTTCACCAATTTGTTCCACATGAAATCACATTTACTTCATTGGGGTTACACCAAGGGTAAGACTATAGACTTTGTCCCAAAATAATAAGCAAATGTTTAGAGCAGGGGTCGGCAACGTTTAGCATGCGGCTCACCAGGGTAAGCACCCTGGCGGACCGGGCCAGTTTATTTCCTTGCTGACGCATCAGGTTCGGCCGATCGCGGCCCCCACTGGCCACGGTTCGCTGTCCCGGGCCAATGGGAGCGGCGGGAAGCGGC